TAACTATTAGTATTACTATTACTGCTACCGCTACTGCTGCTGCTGCTATTCGCATTCGAGCACAGCCAGTTCGAGTCGGCTTGTGAACAGCTAAGTTGCAGCGACTGATCGCCAGCGCATCGAGCGCCCTAAAACCACAGGGAAAGTCAATGATACCAATAACCCTTGCATGACTCCAGTCAACATCCGGCGGACAGTACAAGAAGCGTGTTCCTGCGCTGTACACTATACAGCAAATTCTCACTAAACGGTCAGCTCAATGGAGGAGAGCTTTCTGGGCACTTCCAGCTGTAGATCTCCACACCACACAGGTGCTACAGGGACTCATCGCATCGCGCAAATGCTGAAGTTGGAGCTAAGACTCCTGCAGACAGCGGGCTGACAGGCTGAAAAGGGCTAGAGGCTTGTGAAACAACTGCAGGCTCACTGCAGAATCTTCTTCACCTGAGAAAGCAAGGCTTGAGGCTTGCTTGGAAGTAGGGAGTTGGGGGGGCGGGTCAAAACTTTCTGTTACGTACAAAGCGATGTACCTGAAAGGCTTGTAGTGGGCTAACAGTCTTGGCCTCGGAGCAGTAGTGGCAGCGGGTGAGCAGAGATTCACAACATACCACAAAACACAGGAGAAAAGAAAAACTCCTAGCGTTCAGCTGAGGGGCTGGCTTGTGAGGGTAGAGACGAAAACAGAACCCTCGGTACTCTGAAAAGGGGACCTGCAGGTCAGGGCTTGCGCTAGAGTCTCCAGTGAGCGGGCTGCGTTCAGGCCAGGGCTTGCGGGCGTGGCAGGCCTGGATCAGCTAGTTTGAAGTCCCAACTGCAGTTGCTTGTCTCGGCTGAGCTCATCTGCCCACACGTTCTTCTGGCCTGAGACGTGGGAGACCAGCAGGGCTACTGAGCGCGCGTGCGACCAGTGGCCATAGGGCTTGAATGTCTGACATAGACCAGGTCTCTGAGAACCACAGCCAACTCCTATGCCAACTTTGTCGCCTTCCGCCATGGCATCGGCTGCTGAAAGGCATTGCAGGAGGAGTGGATCTGACAGTGCCTTTGTGGCAGTGGCCTGAACAAAGCAGAGAAGCCAGGCGAGGGACTCCTTGCTGTCCTTGGCAAGCGCTATTTCCGAGCTGTGGAATCTGCTACGCGGACCCAAGTGACTCATTCGGCGTGAGGCAGAAGCGACATTCGTCTGGCTCTAGCGCTGCCCACTTCGATAACCTTGGAGGAGGCTGGTACGCGTAGGCCGAATGGAGGCTTAACTACAGTGGCCTGGGAGCCAAAACTGAAAAGGAACCTCTGCCACATTCACGAGGGAATGCTGTAGAGCGTGCCTGGAGGGCTGCACAGATCCGAATAAAGAGGGGCTGTGTACGAGCGGAGGTGGTGGCGAATGGCTGTGGCCCACAGTTCAGGAGGCCGCACGACTGCAAAGCCTTTTTATTCACCTTCTTTTGGCTGAGCAAGGCTTGAATTTGCTCTGCTAGTTTGACCAGCTTATCTGGCTCAAGGCTTGTTCCCGTTTAACGGAAGTTAAATTCCCATCCACACCAGATGATGGCAAACAGAACCACTAGCAGCGCTAGTTGCAAGTCGCCGCAGCTACACAGGAGGTTCGCCAGGAGATCGTCGACGTTGAGCCAGGCTTTATGTGGCGGTTGCACAAACAGGCTGTGGGCTACGCGCCATAGGAGGGCTCCTAGGCGTTGTCACCAGTAAGCTGAGAAGCGGGCTCCGAAGTGACAGACCACATAGCCAGAAAGCTCGTCTGTGAACTCAGAAAGCAAAAGGCCTTGATCTTGCTCACGTACCTTGGCCTGTTTGTGGGGGCTGCTTTGAAATCAAGGCTCGCTCCGATCCACATGCTGCGTGGGTCCGAGGGCTGGAAGGCTGCACACACATCTGCCACCGTACGCAACTGGACGGCTTTCAGGAGGCTGCAATTTGGATTGACCTGACAGATCGCGCTGTCGAGGACTAGGCGAGGAGGAATCCTCAGGACCAAGGGCGCCTGCAGGGTTTCCAGCAGTCGACGTAATGCCGCGCCGGGCCATCTTGACCTCCAAGAGGTCCGTCCAAGTCCAACTTGGTGTAGATTCGGAAAGCTCTGAAAGGTTACCAGGCGGAGCGTGATCCGCTCGTCACAGATGGCCCGCAAGGATCCAGCGCCGGCGGGAGGCCATAACCTCCGTGCACGAGAGAAAGATCTTTGCTGCCAGGAACGCCCCCATCCCCCCCCCAGCATGTCTCCCCACAGTCATCGGCGCCAACACGACCAACCCCCACACACACTGAGGGGGCGGCTGCGCAAGTCTCTGACCCAATGTGTGTCTGGTCTGCAAAGGCCACTTGATTTGCTCCATCCGGAACCTGACGGTTCTGGCCATCTGGCTCTCCACCTCGTTTTTCTGGAGCGTCAGCGGCTCAAAGAAGCTTCTGCTGAATGTGCACGGGTGTCCGCATCTCCAACAACCACAGCACTCCAAACTCCCCAACTCCAAGCCTCCAAAACAACCCTCAGCGCCAAAGACACCTGCGAGACCCCCTTGAAAAGACCCAGCAACAACTTGGCGTCGCCACAATTCTGCTGCTGTCTGGTGTGTCCGAGATGTCCATGATCTGCATCGGCGACTCTGGTAAGAAGACGCATTTTCCATAGCCTTGCGGAGGTTCTCGGCCAGACGGAGATTTACGCCGGCGCTTGTTCTGGGCTTTCGCTGTACCCAAGCAGGGCCTGCAACTTCGTAGCCTAAGACCTTCTGCTCCTGCCTGGCACCTGATGATCGACCTTCCAGGGCCGCTCACCCTTGGCCTTGTCGGGAAGGGCAGAGCATTCGCCGGCCATCCACCTGCCGCTCCAGCTGTCAGGTTGTAACCAACGCCTTGGCCTTGGCCCTTGCGCCTGCACTTGACCTTGAGCCTGTCCTCATCCCTCTTGGCCAGCACGTACATTTCGAGCGCGCTTGAGGGAAGCCTGGGTCCAGCTAACAAAGGCGGCGATCATCTTCGAAATGGTCGCGTCGGCGAAATTGACAAGGCCCTCCGGGCCCAGCTCCACCGTGGGCGTCATCTCGCGGCAGCAGCAGGTTCACCTTCAACCACCAGGGCCAAAGGCGCCGGTGTTTGGGGTGTTGTCGCCGGCCCAGCAGGCTTGCAGGGCTGCTCTCCACCTCAAACATCTGTCTCCGGAGAGTCTCCGCTTCCTCCTTGAAGGAAACTTCTTCTCTTTCGTGGTGAGCTTGGCCAAGGCGTCCGTCATCTACTGGCAGCTTCACGGCCAATGGCTTGTCACCGACTTCCACAGGGGCGGTCACCGCAACGTCAGCAGGCACGGAGGATAAGGAAGCCATGACTTCACAGAATGGAAGTAGAATGAAGGCGAAAAGAGTTTCATTGGACCACAGACCCCAGATCTTGAGCCAAAATGGCACGGCCATTTTGGCAGCGCGTTCCAGACAGTTCCAGACATATGCCTCGCACTCCGCAGGCTACAGCAAGTGCACACTCATGGAAGAAGTTTCCCGGCCCTCTTTTGCTCGCAACGTTGAATCCTGGGGTGAGGTCAGGCCAAAACTTGACCACAAGCAAATTGGTGGGCCTTCCTTCGCCTTGGCGGGAACCCAACTGATGATATCTGGCTGTTGTCCAGACATTGTCAAAGCCTCCTTGGGCTCAGGCGTTGCTGCGGTGTTCCATAAGGGACCTTCGCCTCGGCGGTATTCCCCATGGGAGCCGATGTGGATCACGTCTCCATAGCCGACGCGGCTTGCTTGACTGCGCTGCGAGGCACAGGAAGCGGCGGAAATCCTTCTGCGTCATGATGCGGCTCATCCTTCTTCTCCCGTTCTGTGAGGTAGAGGAAGTAGTTGGCGTCGATTCCGGCGGTGTTGATTGGCAGTTGCGGCAGGCGCTGCACACCCGTAGCTGCGACGAGGTCCTTGCTGCTGGGGGCCGCAACGACGAGCGCCTTCTGAGCGGGGACGAGGTCCGGTTGTTGTATCCAGGGTGTGTAGGGGCTGAGGCAACGCGGGCAGACGTACAGGCCATGTTGCTGCTTGATTGATGCATCTGCTGAGATTTTCTGAAGCCAGCGCTTGTTGTCCACCACAGCCTGGCAGACAGTCTTCTTGCAGATGTAGCGCTGCTCCATGGAGGTACTGATCTTGGACGCCCATTCTGTAATGCGACAGTCCGCCCCGACGTGCTCAAAGAACGCACGACGATCCCAATCGGGGTCAAGAGCTGACTTGATCGTATCTTCGCCCCATTGACGGACGGCGGCCATGACGCGGGCACGCTCAGCCGGCGATGATCCCTGGACGTCAGCTGTGAATTGCTTGACCAACCTGACATCCGCCTTACTCGTGGATCTGAGCTGCTGCTGCTGCCCTTGCGCTCTGGTGTAGCTCGACGGACTCTTGGCGCTTGATGGCACCAACCTCCTGGCAGATCTTGTACCAGGTGTTGACGTCGAGGGCGGCGGGCGTCGCCGGATTGTTGGTCTTGGTGAGCAAAGCATGGCGCGCCCACCTTGCGTTCGCTCCAGTAAGCCTCGACGCACAGGCGGCGTTGGTGAGGGGCCTCGTCCAAAGCCGATGACCCAGAGCTTCGGATAGCGATCATAGTCTGTGTCCAGGTCGGCCAGCTGTCCAGTCGGTGCGCTGGTAGTCGGTACGTTGAGGACTTGCTGCTGCGCAAGGGCGGCCGTGAAGAGCTGGGCTGAGCGAGGGGTGTGACGCAAGCCAATACTAGTCATCGTTGTCCCCACTGATGCACCGGAAGCAGCATTTGTAGTAATGGTTCCTCCAGTCTGATGTTCCTTGCGGCGTAATATCGAGGAGCCAAAACGGTGAGAACCAAGACCAAGCGCTGCAGAACGTGCAGTCCAAGCAGTTCTCGAGCTGAGCGTCGTCCTCAGATTGAGCCAAGAGGTTGAGGTAAGACTCCGCTGTCTTCATGACGGTGGCGGCGGCGGCCTCCACGGCGTCGCCGACGCGGTCCGGGATGTCGGCGGGCGCTTGACCGGTCACAATCGGTCTATCCACTGGCGCACTAGTTCGTGAGAGCTCAATCCCGGGAACTGACTGCGAAGTCCACGGAGGGCTGTGCACTATAGCGTGGCACGTTGAGCGATGAACTAATGTTGATGTTGACCTGTGTTCGGGAGATCTCTGCAGAGAACTTGTTGAGGTTGCCGACTCGCTGCGAGCTCGAAGATGCTGCTGCCATGCTGAGGGCGATGAGTCGATGAGGCATCTTGGGGTCGGGCGCAAAGACAAGCCTGAGGTAGGTGAGCACTACGGCACATAACACGCCAGGCCAAGCTGATCATCGTATTCACAGCGTGCCTACATCCTACGATCACGGCGTGTCACATAACACGCCGGTCATGAAAAGGCTTCAAGTGCGGCGCGGCTACAACTGGCGACTGCTCTCTCGCACACAACATGGAGGTCACGAAGCATGTTTATCTCGTGGCTGCTGCTCCGAACAAGCTGTGTCTGGTCAGGCCAGTGTCACGCCAACGTCATCCTCCCTCGCCCCGGCGGTAAAGGAATCTACTGGAATCTACTGGAAGCTGCTGAAACCCACGCGGTGCTACAAGGTGACTGACCGGCCTGTCGCCTCGGCGGAAGTCCAATCACTCACCTCTCGGACGGCCTCAGGCGCTCAGGATCCGCAGCGCCGGTCCAGTCAAACCGGCTGACAGACGTGGCCCTGCCACAGGATGGCCTCAGTGAGGATGGTGATCGAGCGATCTACCGCTGGGTGTCTTTGAGGGAAGCGTCGAAGGTAGACAGCCATGGCCATAGTCCCTGATGACGTTATAGCAATCATCAGCGGTTGCCGCACCGATGGCCCCGGTGAAAACATATGCTTGTGTCACCAATACGGCGACGTCAGGATGAGGCTGAAGATGGACACGCGGGAGCCAGCGATCTGGTAGTCCAAGGCGGCTTCCAGGGAACCAAGATTGAGACGTTGATCTACCAAAAGGTGCGTCCTCTGCCATGGCTAGGTAGGGTAGTTGATGGTAGTTGGTGATGATGTAGTTGCGCGACTCTGTAGGGCAAGTTGTTGCCGTTGTAGCCCCATGCTGCGGGCGGCATAGGGTTCGGAGGAGCTGGGCCTCCGTCCACTGATGTAGGCGCCGATGATCTGATGGGCAACAAGCTGCTTGCTGAGCGGCGTCCACCTTGATATGTGCCCAAGTGACTGCATGGGCCGTGGCACCGTGGCTATCGATGCTTGCGGTGTCATCGATTGTGTCGGAGGTGGTTGGTGCGCCGGTGGAAATGAAATGATGGGTTAGGTGTCGGCAGTGAGAAGGAGTCTTGCCAAACGCTGTATGGTGCTTGTGGGGCCTGTGGCAAAAGGTGCGGCGCAGCGATTCTTGGATTGTTGACGAGCTGCGGTGCAATGACGTCATCCAGGTTCCCCTCGTCGCGACCACGAATGCCCACACGAGCCACTCCTCCACCTTTTGTGCCTCCTAAAGAACCCCCTGCAGCTCTTCGACAAACCTCTCCCCATAACAAGCGGTCACCGCCACGGCATCCTCACCGACAGCACGGTTGATGGGCAGGTGCGCGGGGTCACCGTGGATGCGGAGCCACAGTCGGCCCCCAAGAAGGCACTGCCCCCGTCCCAGAGGAGGACGAGTGTGTATCTTAATGGACATTAAGCCTTGGAGACCTAGTTGCCCAAGAAGAGGACGACACAGCCAAAGCACCCCTGCCAACATCAACATCGTGGCACAGACTATTGCGGGTGGACGCAAAGCACCACCTCCACGACCACCACAAGATGACCACGACCCTTGGAACGATTTCAGCGGAGAGCAGGCGGGGCCGGTCATCGAGATATTGACGCCAGCGGTCGCCATGGCTCGCCCCCCATCACCGCACCGTCCGCGGCCCACTCGGTGACCGGTGACCTGCCTCTGGCATGATGCCAGCCCGATCCTCCACAAGTGATCCTGGTGTCCGTGGCAGGTGTGCTTCCAGCTTGGATGTACATGTTGTACGCTTCGGCTGTCTGCCACTGCGTCCAGCTCATCCCAAACACAAAGCTCTTGCCCGCCATAATCTACCAGCCGCCTGGATATAGTTGAGGATGAGCCGTGGTCATTGTTTGGTGTGTTGGAGGTACGAGGCATAGACAACTTCCGCAAAGGTGTTGCCATGCACGTGCTCATAATGTCCCTTATTACAGAGGCCCCAGAAGAAATTCCTACATGGGGAGTTACGGGGGACCCAGGAAAAATCAGTGAAATCAGGATGGACACAGGTGCATACATGTCGTCGGCACCGTTGGCGACCACAAACATCGGGGCAAACTCGACACTCGGGGACCTGAAATGAAGATGGTACCCCATCAGGCACGTGTTCTGGGATCTTTGCCATGATGCTCAACGGTGGGTGCACTCGATGGACTGTGCGGTCGCTGTCGTCATGGCGGGCGGTGTAGACCAGATGAGGCTGCCGGCTCTGAGCCAATCGCGCTAGATGAGGTGGCGGAAGATGAGTTGCTAGAGCTCGATGGTGAACCGGGCGGACTGCCCAAGAGGATGCCCTCGGCGTCCTTGACAAACCCAGCCAGGAACTCGCCCCTCAGACGAGGTTTGATGGCCACAAATACGTCGTTGATGGCCAGATGATGCAGTTCCTGATGAAATACGCCCACACGACGTATTATTGCAGAAGGAGTGCGGTTCTCGGAACGCAATTGATTCCAGAGCCAATGCTTGCGATGCGCCTGTTGTTGGTCAGAAGCAGTTGCAGCCGTCTCAAGAAAGGAGGTCCCGCGAGGGAGCAATGGCTGCAAAGCAAAGATGAGAAAAGGAACTGATGTTCCACACAACAGGTGCACCAAGTAAAACCAAAATGGCGGCGGATATATACAATGCATGGAATCCGCATGCATTTGTGGCTCTTAGCTTGGTGATGAGAGAATTGTCATTTATGACGCACGCGTAATTCAATACATCCCTGCGCACCTTTACCGTGCAAGCGTGTAGGGTTCAGGGTTTGGGGTGGTGCCGCGTCTCGCTTGACTTTACGGGACGAATGATAACTGCAAAAAAACTGCACAGGTGGCTAGGCACTGCCAACCCCGCCCCCAAGCTGGAACACCCGTCACATCAATTTGTTGTTGGAAACTTCTTTGCCAATTCTTAAAATGCAAGCAGGCAGCCGGACCGTCACTCCAAGGATTCAAGGTGGCAGCTGTCTCGGCATCAAAGAGCTTGGACCATGCCTCTTGATAGCCCGTGGCAAACACAACCACGTCGGCAGATATCTCCTCCCATTGCGGCTCACGATTTTGCGTCTTGTTTCTCAGCGAGTTTATCACGACAGAAGTCTCATTTTTTGCTACAAAAATGGAAGCATGCTGACCTTCTTCTGTTTCGTGGTGAAATCTTCCACGACAACGCTGCACCGCTGCATTCTTGAGATCTGTCCACGGACGCAATGCGTGTTCGTCTGCCGAAAGATGGCCTGTCCGTTCGGAACACCCTTATCCCACTTGACCCAAGGCTTGCCACTGGACAAGAAAACGCGCCAGCCTTGATCTTCGAAGCATTGCAAATGGAAACAGAATGTCCTTTGCGCTGGCAACAGTTACATACTGACTAATAAAGGATCGCGCCTGTCTTCAAGCAGGGGTCCATGCCATAACTGCCAACGAAGCCCGTATGCTGGCAGCATGGACCAGGGTAGTAGAAAATGACACCTTCTCGGTAGTCACTGATAATCACTTCTCTGGTTTCGGCGCAGCCCACAGTATTCATGCCACGACACCAAACCAGAGGCGCCAGTACGCACCACAGCCTGGCAGCTTGTGCGATGGATTATGACAGACTATCCTCCCAATCCAGACAAGGTGCAAGGTTTGCAAGGGTCGCAAAACATACCCGATCATTCGCACCAGCAGGCCTTCACAAACAAGCATCTAGGATTGCGAAACACCGGTGCCCCGACACAACGCGACCGAGAAAACAACCTGTGATAGTGGTGCTGCCATGCATCAGGCATCATGATATGGTGGAAATACCAGCTTGGAAAACCAACCTGATAACCATCAAGATCATGTCTGATGACATAACTTCAGCTGCCTCCTCTTTCAGCTTCTCCGCTCAAGCTCTAAAGCTTGCCAGGGAGCGCGTTGATGCAAGCCATTCCAGCGGCAAGCCCAGAAATCGTTGCGGTAAGATCCATGCGGGATTGCGGGCGACCAAGGTTACCTTAGCTGCCCAACTAGTTTCCAGGATGCCGCTGCTGCTCAACTCCCTCATCACCTGCTTAGAGCAAGAGCTCAGCAGGCACTTGCCCGTGATGCACGGAGAACCTATGGAAAACATCTCCTTATGCTTCGTGCTTCGGCTTCAAGCTTTAGCAGATTTGTTTTGCCACCTCGTTTAGGATCGGCAGAGCGCTGAACATCGAACTGAGCTCAAATGCTTGCGCTGTTGTTATGAAAAGCTTTTCAACTCTTTGCACAGCTTGACACAGCTGCCAGGATGCAAATTCTGCTTCTTTCGCAGCCAGAGCAAAGCAATCCAGAGCGGACTTGCCGAAGCCAACTACGACTACGCGGCGTCCACGCAAAAGCTTTTCGTCTTGGAGCTCAGAGCTGTGCAGGATCTTACCAGCAAACCCGTCGCTACCACTGATGTCTGGAATGAACTTGTCCGAAAAATTGCCAACAGCCAAGACCACAAAGTCAAAATCCTCCTCCTGAATCCCCGTAAACCCATTTTGAAAGTGGACTCGCCAACCATGTGGCCGACGCTGTAAGAGCTTAACCTCCGTGCTGGTACGAATCGAAGGTAACAGATCAAATCTGTCTGCGTAGGCATTGCAATGGGACTTCAGCTGCCGACCCGTCGGATAAGTGTCCAAATCGCGCAGCCCAGCTTCGTCACTTTCAACAAAAGAGTACTGCTCCCTCTTGACCTTCACGCTCGCTTCTTATGATGCAGTCAGTCCAAAAAAAGGTACACAAGGCAAGGCCTGAGCACCGAAGCCACTGTAGTTCTCGCGCCATACACCACCAATCTCGCTTGCACGCTCGAACAACACGATGGTCTGACGACAGCTGCAAAGCATTGCAAAGGATGGCATGCATTCGAAGGCAAACAACAACTGGGGTTGGGGACCTTGATGTTCGGGACCTGCTGTAGAGCGCGCAATGCCTGCAAGCCTGAGACTGAGCATGAACGGCAAAAACCATACTCGAATTATGTCAGCATAAAGCCCAACTGCAGCAGGAATGCCAGCAACTCCTGCCCCAATAATCGCAACTGTCCGAGGCTGCGTCCATCCCGTATCGGGCTCCATGTGGCAATGGCTCCGTGGCGCCGGATGTGCTTGCATGTGCTTGCTAGCTAGTTGCAGTTTCGCTGCGCTTGCAACATGGCTTTCCGACTTACCGCAGAAAGTTGGGGAGCACTGATGTCCTAGAGGTATCGGTATCACGCCAGATTCCTGTAGCAATGAAGGCTGAACGGCACTGGAGGATGCACAATGTTGAAAACACAGGCCAGTATGCAAAGGACGAGGCCCGGGGCTTGCGCAGCGTGCTTGACTTCTTTGCCCAAATACTTCTGTGCACGATCCTTCCTTGGATGAATCTGCCGGTATGCACAAAATAGCTTAAACCGCAAGCATTGCACGAGATCACGGCCGCTACCGAAAGCAACTAGCCGTCTGTTCAAGCAAGACCCGCATGCCTTTATGCTTTAAATCTGAAGTGCCTAGTTTACAGACTTTTGCCTTATGTGCAAAAAGCAGGAGGAATTCTTGCTGCCAGCTTCAGCTCTGAGAGAAGAAGCGACGAGATCCTAAGCTGAAAGCATCTGAGCCACATTCTGTTCGTTCTGTCAGTATGCCTTGCCATATGCATGTGTTCTCCATGCAACTCTTCCACAGTTGGGCATAAGTGGGCAAGCGTCTTCTCTGGCTTCAGGATCTTTACCTCGGCGGAGGCCAAGACTGCAAGATTCAACTGTGGTTGCAATAAAACGTCGCATCCGGCAGGGAAGACAAACCGCTTGGAGGGCCCACCTCCGGATGCTAAATGAGGCTAGTTGGTGAATGCAGGTTACAGATTGCAGAAGCTGTTGTAAAAATCACACAGAATTTAGCTCTAGTGGCGGTTGCTGAACTCTCGAGATTCCACCTAGGGCCAGCAGGGTCCTTGCCCTCCTAAGTCCTAAGCAGACACAGACTCTGCACTGACTTGACGGCAGGAGTCCTCACCATTGATGGTCACACTGACTGCAGCGCTGCCATCAGTGTCCGCAACCACCTGCAGTGTGCCATCGTGTGGACACTGTAGAAGACACGTTGCACAAGCAGACCTCAAATGGCAAGTAAACTGATAGCCTTGAAGGGCATCATCTTGCTGTCTCTCTGCACGCCTGCATCCTGAAAAGTCACAGCACAGGGCCTCTCAAAACCGAATCAAGAAAGGCGTAGAGCTAGTCCTTGTAGTCGCGACCAATGAGACGCTTCACATGTGACCTGAAGCAGGGGAGCGGCAGTCGCTCCATTGAACAGCACAGTGAAGATTCATGTTTTGATCGCAACCACCCGTGTCTGAGATCAATTTGAAGGCAAAGTTTATTTGGTCCCGAGGAGCAATGTCTGCTCAGGGGAAAGCAGCGCCTGATCTTTAGCTGCTTCACCGATCAGCGGTGCCTGCGGTGAGTATGGCATGGTTCAAAGCATGCTCAAGCTAGGAAAACATCAAATAAAAAGATGAGGAAAGGGAAGAACAGGAAGATGTCACTGCAGCAATAAGGAGGGGTCCTGTAAGAACTCAGCTTCTAGGGAAACAAGTCACCAATCAAAAACAAGGTGACCCCGGTGATGAAGTGTCACGCTGGTGAATGACATGAATGGTCTTGGCATGCAAGTGGTGCTCCTTCCTGCCTCCTGACCCTCTTTGTTGAAGGCCACAGCAGAAGGCATGATCCGGTTGCCTGCGAGTTACCACGTGCCACAACCAGCAGATAGCTGAAAACTGGCTTTCTTTCTGCGAGTTGTGAGTCCGCTTGTAAACATTGTAAACAGCATCTTACAGCCTTCATCGCCCGGTATAATCTCCACCGCTCCGTTCCTCAGCTGCTGGCTTCAGCGCAAGTGTTCAAGCACAAACCCACACAGTGCGCTTCACAGCTGTGCTGCATCGAGGAAGCTTGTAAATAGCAGCACAAGAACACGTGGTGCCAAGATCGATTCCTTGCAGCGTCACATGAAATGATGCTCAGGAACCTGTCAAGTGACAAAAAATGAGCAAGCGACAGCAAAGAAAGCTTGCAAAGAGAGCCTTTACCGTCCTGCAGTATAAAGACTAATACATATGGTGTAAAACGGGAGGTTGGCAAGACATTGTGGCACTTCTTGCTGGAATGCTGCCAATCACTGGCCCATTGATGGTCACCGGCTGCCCTGCCGCCAAGATGGCCAATGCCAGCGCAGCCACCACATGGACCGTCACAGGTCTACATGACCATCTCCTGCAAGTACACAAAGCTAATAGATCACGGCACATTTAATGATAATGACTTGTGCTGACCCCGCCGCTCCTGGGCAGCATTGCCAGAGCAGACCAGTCGCCCAGCAACTTGCAACTAAGTTCTTGTACAGAAATCCTAGGTGCTAGAAGGGGTGGCCAACCATGTTGAGACAGACTTTCAAGCGAAACCAGTAGCAGGTACGAAAGGAAAATGTGAAGTGCAGGGAACTCCGTTGTCTTTCCAACATCTTTCAGTGCTTGATTTGGCTCCTGCACCAGCACCGATTCAAATCCAGAGATTCAGGAGGCATCAACGTGCAAATCCAAATCTAAGACCGACCCGTTTTCTCTCAGGTCTCCTGAGGTCAACTTTGGGTAACATGTCCCACGAGTGAGGAGCCGACACCCCTCAAAGTTTCCAAGCTGCAATTTTGCTCATAATTGATCCATTTGTCAATAGATTATCTAATGCGGAGAGAACCGGCTTTGGAAACTCAATATAAGCCCTTTGTAAGGCTGATGCAGAGCAAAAAATTAGAGGGATCGCCGACTGCAACTTTAATGGAACCGGAGTAAAACCATTCTAACCTTCGACAAATTATGAGTGCAATAAGCACATAAGACATAAGGTTCACGCAGTCGACTTCACCAACTAACTTTTCCTTGACAGCATAAACTGCACATGCAAGGAAAATCTAGCACACGGCAGTGCTTTTCACACTGGTGCACCTGTGCAGAAGCAGTTCACACTGCAATCAGGTATTCGTGTGCGCTACACTACGCGTCACGGATTCGCATCCGAGCTGGGCAAACATTAACCTTCAGAAGCCAAAGCACACGAAAGCATGAGATGCTGCGATGGTCAGCAAGTCACGGGCTTCTGTGGATTCGCAGAAAACCTGAGTTCACCAAAGCCAAGCGCTTCACAATGATACGAGACGCGCCTCACAACTCTAAGTCCTTTACTCACAATCTGGCTGTGGCCAGGTTGGCTCCACCTCGACCTCACGAATCAAATACCTAGAAAGTCAGGCTTCTTATGAGTAGATATCTGTTAACAAACCACGCCCATCTCAGTGGCCCAAACTGACTCCAAGGAGAAGCTGCTCTCTCATGAAGAGGTCATCCTACAAAGCATGACGCCTGACGCAGCCCCTTGTCACGGCTTTTACACCTGCCTTCTGCGGTCCCCGCATCGCCAAGGTCCGCGTTGAGGACGGCACAGACCTCAAGCTCACCCGTCTACACGCAAACACGGTCATCTTGATGACATTCTGAGAAGCAGGCGCCCCACGGTGACTCATGCACGCGTGGTGTGCCTGGATTCGAAGGCTGACATGCAAAAGCTGTTGTTAATGCATCTTGCTTCCCAAAGGGCGCGCGTCGGTTCGGGAACCATGTTTCGGGAACCATGAACGCATTTCGGGAACCATGAAAGCCGTTTCGGGAACCATGGAGGTCGTTTCGGGAACCATGAAAGGTCGTGTCGGGAACCATGAAAGCGCGTTTCGGGAACCATGAAAGCACGTTTCGGGAACCATGAAGGCGCGTTTCGGGAACCATGAAAGCG